AAGCACGTTGGTGGTGCGAGGGGGTGCTTGGCAGAACCAGGATGCCCATTCCCAGCCGAAGAAGCACAAGGCTCACGGCAGCCGCGTTTGCAAATTGTGGCACTTCAGCAGAGCAGGGCCAATTAAATCTCTCCCAATTTGCTGAACACAACCATTAACATTCATTACTTCGGCAAGTATTTTTGGCATAGTTTGCATCGCTAGGTCGTTACGTGATTTTGGGGCTTGCTTATGGTAGCATCTTATAATGCCAAATCACTCGCCACCAAGCTGGTGGTGGAGCCCTCTGAAGTGGTCCCGTATGCTGCCTCTTTATGGAAATGCCCAGTGGATTTTGTTTTAATTTGCCCCTTCCTGGGCTGAGCTTTTCTCCAATAGGGAAAAGTGTCTGGAAAATCCCACTAGGCTCCTGGAACAGCCCTGCACCAGCCAGTTGCCAGAGACAAGAGAGGGGAGCTGCTGCTGCATGGGATGCATCTAGGCCAGGGACTATCCCAAAGGACCAGGGGGTTGGGTGCAAAAAGAGCAAGAAATCTGAAATTAAATGAAGAATATTTGCCAAGTCACCCAGCTCCACAGTGCAATGCGCTGCATATGGATGTTTGTCCAGCAAGGAAGTCCCAGGTCCCTGTGAGCTTTAATTAAAGAAGCAAAACGAACCCATGCAGACTCTTGCAAACGTCACCACCAGAAGCTGAAGAAACCAAAACAGACTCAGAAGAATTTCATTAGTCCAATTTTTATTCAAATTAAAAGTCCTGGGAACTACAATGTGATTTTTCTGTTATAATATTAACTACACCAGTGAAGACTGCTCCATGAGTTAAATCTGTCGCAATGGACAACACAGCTGTCAAGAAGATTACTTTGCAATGGCCTTCATCCTTCATGCTCATGCAAAATAAAATAAAATAATCAAAACCTGGGCTTAAACAGTCAACCAAATCATTACATTATGCTGTCAGCTATTATATCAAAATCTGTTTTATGAAAACAAATAATTTCACATTCAGGTAAATTGTTTCACAATCTTCCATTATTCTTAAAGTGTTTCTTTATACATAAAATATACAAATTAACATTCTCAATACTTATTTATTGTCACCATAGAGGAAAATAATTTAGTAATCCTATGAATAAAGACAAGAACAGAGGAAAAAAGGAAAAGTGAAATCATTCATTTCCAGGATATAATGTCTAACATATTCCCAACCACTAGCTTTGAGCAACCACGTACTTTTATGTGAATATCATTTTCAGGCATGGTGGTAAGCCAAGGGGGCACCTGCCCTGTCAGGAAATTTTATGAGCAATGAATCCCAAAGGTTAAGAACAAGGTGCATTTCTCTGTTGAACCATCATGTCAGTTTGATGAACGGGCTTACCCCATCACTTGATATTAAGGATCTGGGTCTCCACACATGAAGACTGTATCAGGCTTTCGTGGTGCTGTCATGCAAATGCTGGCAAGTGGATTTATGGTAATTAGTGTGCTGCACATCCAGACAGAAGCAGCATTTAGATAAACTCAATGAAAAGAAAATTGGTTTTAATCACTCCCAATTTATCTATTAGGCACAAATGGGAAAGATGGACTTGATTCAAACTTGTCCTAACAACATGCTGCTCGACGCCAAGGCATCCTGCACTGCACGTGCTCCCCTCTGCTGCAAACTTCAATATCCAAAACAGGCACCGTGAGGAACCGGCCCCAAAGCTTTTAAAGCTTTGACAAAACCTCCCGCAAGACCTGGGCGATTTGGGGCCATTTGAGGGGTTCTGTACAGCAGCATGCGCCATCTCACCCAGAGAGCTTGTCCACCAAGCAAAACATAAAGCAAACAAGCAGCATAAGAAAATTAAATTGGAGAAAATAAGCTTTTCAATTATTTCAGAATAACTACTGATGCAAGAGTGCACTGGTGACTGAGGTAATGGATTTCAACCTATTTCCCAATGTTCAGCCCACTGCTGTCCCACCTAGAATATGTTAGGATCAACACAAGAGCTATCCCAGACCTTAGAATTATTTAATTTCTTGCACAGAAAACATACAAGTTATTCACACCTACAGCACGGCCAGCAAGAACTGCACTGGAGTGTAAGAATTAGATTAAGATTTTAACATAAATGTCATTGACAACAATAAAAAGCAATCCCAAAAAATCTTTTAAGTTTTCTTATAAAAATATTTACAGTAAAATCCGTTAGCGTTAACGCTATGTTTTCAGTCCTAGAAAAAGGCAATCTTGAAAGGATCTGGCTCAGGTGCTCCGATTCAGTAACAGAAACACGAAACCACACGCCAAGGACAGACAAATCCGAAAAGCCATTTGAGGGGGGGGAAAATACAGCTGGTTTGTCATATGTTACTGTTGTTCATATTGCATAGCTGGAAAACGAGGTCACTTGACTTGCATAACACTGCAACGGGAGAGGAGGGGAGACGGGACCGGGGGAAGCAGCGGCTGCAGCCGGAGCAGCTCCGCGAGCCCGGCAGGCGAGGGGAGCCCGAGCCCTGTCCAGCAAGCCCACGGCTGTGCAAAATGCCATTTTACAACAGCAGAAAAGCACCAAAAAAAGTGATTTCCTACAAAGCAAGGAAGGTTTAAAGAGAGATGTGTATTCCTGTTAGAAAAGCAGATATAGCAGTGGAAAAAAGTAAATAAACCAACTTTCAGGCAGGCCCACCCTTCAGGACATATTCTGCAAACTCCCAGTTTGAATCTCCATAGTACTTAATGTTTGCTTTTCTCCCAAACCCACAGAAACTATTAGTCTCACACCAATATTTGCCTTAGCTACAGCAATGCTCCCTGCTACAGCAGAGCATCTTATCTAGCAATTGTTCCCAACTCTTATTTAGCTCTAGGCACATACCCAACATGACGACGTGCCACGAGGGAGACTTAAGCTCAGCCCATCCCATTTCATCCCATATCTCCATGGACTGTAGGAAAAGGGAAGCACCTGTGGACCAGTCTTGGGGACACTTATTTTGTGTGTGCATCTGGCTTTTTGTTTTTTTGTCACCACAAAATGCACTTCTGGACTCATATTGGCAGCCAGATTTAGTTGGCAGGCACCCTCCTCCCACCACCATTAGCTTTTACAATAAAAAAGTCCACCAGCAGAGAGCAGCAAATATTACACCTATTTCGGTACGTTTCAGCGGAGATCAGAAAACCCAAAGCAAGACGCTTCAAGGGTATTACAGAAATGACTCTTTTTCTTTTTTATCGAGACCTCTCACCTGTCATACAACAAAAGGTGAGATATCAAGACCACCACTGCCATTTTTACAGTTTCCCTTTGCTCCTGGAAATAAGAGCATTCCAGAGGAAGGAGCAGGATTGAAGGCTCCCTGGGCAAGGCAGAGCAGAGGAGCGACCCTCGGGCACCCCACACTGACCGGGTACCCGGGCTGAAAGGTCTGGGCCAGCTCCAGTGTGAAAAATCAACATATCATCCATCTCCTCTACAAAAGCAGCACAAGGTGATTTAGCCAGAGGTCCCTCCAAAAACAATTCTTAAGACTTTCTTGTTTCTACCACAGAAGGTCACAAGTAGCTCTTTTAAGAAAAGTCTGAGGAGATTTAAACTGGCAGAAGAGCAGCAGTAAGTGCTACAGTCAGCAGCACCATGCACAGACACCATCCTGCTGCCCACTGCAGAAAACCCAGCTGATCCACAGGCGGAGAAAAAAGACTGAACAGGGAAACTAGCTCTCTTTAAGAAGACAATAAAATGCATAAAGTGAGCTGAAAAACTAAAAAGGAGATGAAACAGCTTTCTTTGGGGGTTTCCTTTAGCTGGAGAGTCTTTGGCAGTCTACCCCTGTCTAGAAAAATGTGCCACGGCTCGCAGGAGTACAGGTGTCCCCCAAAATAAGTCAAATATCCCTTTACACAGAACGCTTTAAGGGTCTGGGAAGTAAGAAAGGCAGCTGCTCCACAGCTGGATCTCACTTAGCTGTTTCCTTGTGTTTTGAGTAATCTCATCAATTCTTCATCCTGATGGAAGAGCGCATTCAGCACAGGAAAAATTTAAATAATTACAATGACACTGATTAGCAAGATCTCCATCCTTGGGAGGCATTAAGACACTGGAGGTATTTTATCTCTGTTATTAACCCCTACTTGGGTGACCTGGGGTTCTCATTGTACCGTGTCTACATTAATGGCACCATCATGTATTTCTTTCGATACCTGAATGCTCTCTTATGAAATGGCACTGAAATGCGGGACAGAACTAGAATGGGGGGCTTTCAGCACAGCATGGAAAGCACATCGGGAAGGAATAAGGAATAATTCCTATTCAAGCAGTAGCTGTTTGACGGGAGCAATAGCCCCCTGGAGCAGCAGTGTCCTCCGAGGTCGCGGCGTGCGGAGCGGTTGAGGTGCCAAGACTCCGGCCCGGAAAAGGCACTGCCCAGCAGCTCCCACCATGCAGGGATTGGCACTGATGACAAGGAAAGAGATGACACCACATTCATCTCCCACCGCACGACGAGCGTCCCGGGAACACGTACAGTAGTCCAGTGGCAAAGACAAATGTGTGACCACGGTGACATCGCACAGTCCGAGCACCTGCTCCAGCCCGTTTCTGCTCTTCCAAGTTTCCACTGTCAGTAGTAACGTTCACCCTCCAGGCACAATGAGCAAGTTCAACCAATAATGCATACGGAGCATCAGTAGTGAAGAAATCCCGAAGTGCTCGTGTTCACTCACACATCTGAACACAGCAGTTTTGTTTCACATGAGAAATTCAGTGCCTACAGCCCAAGCACAGTGTTCACCCCACCTACCCGTGGAGAGGAACAGTTGATGGCACTGCAGGTAACAAGCAACACCTCGTGTCCAGCATGGACCGCATCCCCAGAGGGATCTGCACTTTGCCACGCAACAGAGGACGCCGCCGAGATGGCGTTTGTAACATTATCACTTGTCACGCAAAGAGTTTGACAGCGATGAGATGGGTCAAGGCGTAGGTGAGTCAACTTCCCAATGCCACGCAGCTGGATCCAGTTTACTTCTGCTTCTCGCACCACCTCGGTTGGTGTCACAAGGGTTTGTGAATCACAGCCACACCTGTCACAAGAATAGACAGGTAGATATAAGCTTAAGGTCAGAGCAGCTCCTGGATTGCAATGGAGTTAAAAAGATATTGCAAGGGGTTAGCAGAGAGCGAGCTGTCTTTGCTATCTCTGTCACTGGTTCCCCTATTGAAAGCTACATTAAACACAGGAAAATGTAAAATCAAAGCATCAGGAGGCACAGCCTGCAGGTTTATGAGTGATGCCAGACACGATGGTGGCTGCGGGGCACTTGTTAGGGAGCTGGACTGCCACGTGCTCTGTCACCAGCACTTGCACCCAACACTTACCTGCGTAACTTCTTCCAGTGCTCATGCTGGTTGGTAACAACGTCCACTTGTCGGTGATGGGGTTGTAGTACTCCACAGAGGCCAAGTTACAGGAGCCATCGTCCCCTCCAACCACGTAGAGGAGCCCATTCACGGCGCACACACCTCCAAAGAGCAGCACAGACAGTTAGATCCAGGCCAGCCTACCCTCCATCTCCTCTTCCTCCTGACTCATTTGCCTGCCACATTCACACTCATTGCACAGAACTTAATATTCGCTTTTTATCGCTTCCTTACAGTACTAAATACTTGCACATTAGGAACATTAGAAAAAAGACCCATGGACAAGAACCACCAAGCTGCACAAAAGCGCAACGCGGGGGTTACCTGCGTTTCTCCTACACATGTTCATGTCCGCCACTTGCTTCCAGGTGTTTGTCCCCGGATCGTAGACTTCCACACTCTTCCGCACCAGGG